GTGGAATATACAGGTGCAAAATAAGGAGCCAGGCAATTTAAAGCCTCGTATGAAAGCAACTACATTTTAAAATATGCTTCAAACTAAAAAAACGCAAAACAGATATCAGTACTGGAATAATATGTTTATTAAGTGATAAAAAGCAGTTCTGACTTCCTCTTTTATATGAGACTCGAAGGAAAGCGGCGGGTCAAACCACTCACCCAAGTTCCTTACCTTATCCCTCCATTTAATGACACACTCATCAAGTTTCAAGGGAAAGTTATGGAACAAATTATGACATCTCTGATGTCTAATGAGCATCCAATTAGTCTTACTGTTATTAGGAAACATGAGATTACCGGATAACCAGCCCCTACGTGCAGCTAACTCTCCCGATTCTTTACATCTCTGCACAGATTCCTGTGGTAACAACACATATAGCAGAAGATCATCAGCATAATAGTGAAAAGTTGCATCAAAAGACCAAAGAAGAAGCCCAAGATGCAGTAGTTGAGAGGAAACGTCAAAGGATGAGCACAGACCCTTGAGGGACTCCATCTTCAAAATCTCAGAGAGATCTTTCCTTCTAGCATATTCCGGGTACCATCCTTTTTACTGGTTGTGGTGCCAAGATTAGTTTGCTTCCTATCCAGAGTCAGGACTCCTGTTTTGTGTGTCTGTGTTTCTTTGTTTGTCTCCCTTCATCCACCAGGAGGCGCCTGTTTCTGGTCCGCCTCCTCACACACCTGCTGATGGTTTCCTCGTTTACGGAGTGTTCTTAAGCTGCTGAATGCCACTACTTCGACGCCGGAGTGTTTGCCAGTTTAGGGTACTCTAGCCAAGCTGAGTTTTTGCTGAGTCAAGCTCAGCTCTTGTCAACCTGAGTTTAACTTAGTTTTTTTCTTTGCCTCTCGGCAGGAAGTCATCCTACAAACTGGTTTTCTTGGGCCTTCACTCCCTGGAAGGATCAACTGAGCTTCAAACTGAGCTGGGGTTCAAACAGGAGGTTTGGAGCCACTTTCCCTAAGAGATTGTTTGAACTTCTCACTGAGAAATGGATTATTCACCACAACGACCCGTTCAAGTACCGCAGGAAATCTGAGTGGCAGTCAATTTCTCCGTTCACCAAGGAACAATCGCAGTCTGAGTAAACCCTGTTCTGCCCTCCACAGAATCAGACAAACACTGGAACCCTGGCACACAGACAGGACTCAAGGATTCAACAACTTCTGTGGAAACGTGAGTCGGCAACCAAATCCTCTTCTCCAAGTTCACAAGTCAAATTCCCCATTGAGCCTGAACTAACCGCTGTGTCTTCCCCTCACTTTACAGTTCCGGTTGAGCAGTGTTCAGAGCAACACTTCTCCCTCTGTTTAACTTCTTCAATAAAAGCCGTTAAACCTTTTCTCTGGTCTCTCTGTTCGGTTTTCTGCATTTGGGTCAGGACTTTGTAACATCATGACGTCCAGACTGTTAGCCATCAGGGAAACAGAACATTGTGGATTACTAATTAGCAATTTTAATGAAACTGATTCACTTTAAAAAGTAGGAAACCATGTTAGGAATGTATCTCTAAACTTTTTTTTAAATGAGTAGCAGCTATTGTGCCATCTGTAATTCTGTCAAGCAGTAACAAGTGTGTAATTAAAGGATATTTCTTTCTTTAACCAATAAATGCCCTTGAGTTAATAATGATTTTTTTTGTCTGATTTCTGTAAAGAAACGCTGAAAGGTTCTTTGCACATCTTTAGCAGGGCTGCCAACAGATGAAACAATGTCTGTATGGGAAGGAAGCAGCCCTGCCTCACTTAATGCATTCACACAATGTTCCTTGCTCTAAATGAACGAGTAATGGAGGCAGGAAGAAAAGGCCGTAACAAGGTGGATGATGATAACTACATGACAGCAAACCTGTCTTGACCTTCTGCAACCTTCTTCCACTCCCTCCTCCACTAGAGTAATTCTTCTGACTGTGCAGAGAATCTTACAGAGTTAAACAAAATCTTTTCCTTTCAGTTTCAGGAAATAATAAGTTTATGTCCCACAGATAAGAATGACATTTTTTTTTATATATATATAAGCTCCACATTAACTTAAATAACATCCTAAATGTTTAAACCTGCAACTGACAGTCACTGACACAACACCCCCGCAACTAGAAAGTATAACGAATGAGTTTAAACCTTTTTTCAACTCTTATGTGTCATTTATTGTGTTAGTTAATCATAAAACCCAAATAATCTGCTCAAGGCAAGTAAAAAAGCAAAAAGGGGAGCAGGTTGTTAAAGTTTGCACACCCATTAACTCAGTTGTTTCAAAAAATAAATGTCAATTGCAGTAAATACACATTACAATAAAATATTACAATAAAATCAACCACACTCTTATTAAATAAAAAAGAAGCATTTTTTAGGCTCAGTTGCTTTTTTAAGTGTTAAATGCAATGTTACATATCTATTGATCCGTCTTGTTTTTATTTTATTTTATTTTTTTAACTGTGTCCTGTCTGACGATGTGGCATTAAGAATAACTGCCTTGATGCCAAAAAGAACCAATTTTTCTTGCCTATCTTGTTTTTTAAAGACAGATCCTAAAATGGGTACCTTTATTTATTGATTTAATTTCTACCAGCCCAAGTGAAATAACACAGCCTCTCCTCCAGGGGGCGCACCCCTCACTTTGGGAACTCAGCTTTGCTGAAGCGTCTTTTTAGTTAATTTCACTAAAGATTCTTTTTTTATATGGATCTATAAACATTCTGCATCATTTCTCTGAGATATTGGCTCAGATGTTTTGTCAGATCAATAAAGGGATTTTCTATTCTATTCTATTCTATTCTATTCTATTCTATTCTATTCTATTCTATTCTATTCTCTTCTAATTCCAATAGATTTTTTTTTGCTGATTTTGACTCATTTTAATGTGGAAACTTCAAAACTTTATCCTCAGTGTAAACATTTAAATCTCAGTAAGTCCCTTTTTCCTAAGATAGGTGCATTTTTCCTTGATTCGAGCCGACAGTTTGCCATTGGAATAAGACTATTAAAAATAGCTGTAATAAAGGAAAATATTTGAAAAATAAATGGTCTTATTTTTCGGATACGTTTTTTTCCCCCAGAGTTTAACTTTTGCTGTTAAGTCTGAAGACTTTGGGTTAAACTACGTAGAACCTTCAGGAGTTAAAATAAACCCACAGCATCATACTGCCACTGCTAATAGGGATGGCATTCATCTGGTGATGTAAAGTGTTTTTTATGTGCCAGTCTTTTTTTTATTACATCTTTATTCTTTTTTAAAGACGATTTGGTAAAATGTAAACTAAGCTTACAATTATGTGGCGCGGGGAAAAGCATCCTTGTCTATTGAGCATAATTGAGATACCACAAATGCAGCGGTGTTAATTTTGACAGCTCTTCCACTCCTCATCCCTACAGCAGATGACAGTAATTAAGTCAAACACTTCAGGGCTGCATGCTATTACTACAACATGCGATGTTACATAATGTTGGTGAATGCTGTCCTAATGAAACATGTAAAAGGTGAAGAAATACCTCACTAGACAGCATCACTGTTTCTGCTTTGGGTTCCTTTAAACATAAAACCTTTATTATCTATGCAGGAAAAAAAGGAATTTATAATTTATTTTCCAACATGTTAAACTGATAGCATCCGTCCACATCTGGTTGAACATGAGGATAGATGGGGTAGATGACATGTCCCGTGCAGACCTAAATCTGTAGTTTGGATCTAGCTTAAGATGCCATTGTAAATTAAGCAAACTAAAAAAACAAAACAAAACTTAAGGTTTAATAATGATTGTTTCCACAGGCACATTAGATGCTTCAAACATGAAATATAAGTCTTTTTTTCTTGAACTAAGCGGATTTTCCTTAGATTTGTCTAAAGAAGACAATTAACCAAGCAATAAGATGATTTACGTTTGAAATAGGAAAAAGTACCTCCACCATGTTTTTAAAACTGCATAATATCCAATTATCTCCTTTTAAATGGGTAACAATTACTCGTTCCAATGGCAAATCATCTTACCTGCTCAAACTGAAGGTTATTAGACTAATGTTCAGAATTTTTTTCTTAACTTTATATCCATTCTTGCATTAAACTGCATCTTATGTCTCACTCAACATTTTTCAAGCTGATCCCACCTTTCAACATCCCTAAAATAAGATCTAATTGGATTTATTTCTAGTGGTGCAGTGCAAAATGCATCAATCTAACCAAGTCTTATTATCTTATATACTGCAAAAAGTATTATTTATCTATTTTTTTTGATTCTGAGATTGATATAAGATCATAAGACTTGTTCAGATGGGTAGTTTTTGCAGTGTAGTTCTATTCATATGAAATACCTTTCTGATTTTTGTCTTGTTTTCATCTAGTAAAAAAAAACAACCTTAAAACAACAGTTTTACAAGAAATTTTGGGTAAAAATCAAGACTGAGACAAAGAAATCAAGAGGTTTGCAGAGAATTTAGCAGCTTCTCTTAAAGCTAATCTGCTGTTTAGTAGAAATAAACATCATTTCACTTTTCCCCATCAACCATGCACTGAAAATATTAAACTATAAGCTAGTTTTCTCGAAATAAGTGTATTTTTCTTACAATTTAGGCAGGTAAGTAAGACAACTTAAAAATGGGAAAGGATTACCTTTTAGATAAAACAACAACAACAACAAAAAATCATTATCTTATTCCAAGAGTAAAAAAGATCAAATTTTCTTTTTTTTAGGCCCAAAATACTCACTATGTCATTTGAGGATTATCTTAATTATCCTTTTAATCAGTTTTTGCAGTGTGGAATGCAAACAAAACTTTAGAATTTAATAAAACTTTACTGATCTAAGGTTGTTTTTTTTTTAAATCTTCATTTCTGGAATGTTTTTTTTTTTCTTCAAATTTCCTTATAAAAACTGGTTCTGTCTTTGCAACAATAATGGAACAAAATTCACTCCATAAGAGTTCAACAGTTTGCATATTGATCCAACCAGTTTATCACACCTTTTACATTTCTTCTCTATCTGATCTTAAACAGCCTTTTTCTTCCTTTTCCTCATAAAATGTTCTCCTTTGCAGCTGCTGTAGATAAAATAAAGACTTTTGTTTTTCTTTTCCATTTTTTCCATCAACTGTCATTGTTTCTTTTTATTTGTACACCCAAATAAACACATCTATTTATATACCTTTACACAAACAATGCATAAATAAAATGACGAGAAAAAAGAATATGAAATTTGATATGAAAATAACCGTTGTTACTTTCTTTCACACTCACACACATTCAGTCACACAAGGCCTTAACTGGATCTGACACATTTGTACGTCTCAGTCCTGAGGTTAGTCTCATTAGCTTTAAATATTCCTCATTTGGGTCGATTGTTGATGATACAAACTGAATGTACTTCTATTCTTTTATCCGTTGAGACAGATCATCTCCCATGGAAAAGAAGCATCTTTAATAAGGAGAGTGATTTCATGCAAATGATGCTCTCTTTGGGATTGCCCCCTCCCCATCTCTCCCTCTCTTTCTCTCTCACACACATACACACTTTGTGGCATTGCTACGGCTCAGCCCGTCTGCCAACTGTGGGATAACTGAACCGCACTGATGTTATCTGAGAGAAGAAGGTGCAAGAGTCGTTACTCGCCTGACCAGATGGCGTCAGAGCGGACTCGCACACGTACAAACTCTCGGAGAACACATATGTCCTAAATGCTTTACAAGCTACGCCGTAAGAACAAAACGAGTAAGTAGAAAGTGTGGCTTTGCTGGCTCATGGGAGTACGCTCTGACTGAGAACAAGGTCAGCCCAGTTGTATCGTAGCAGATGTCCTGTCATGATTTTGGATCACACACAGCTAATCCCACTACTCTTCCTGTGTCAGTCAGGTTGATAATTAGCTCCAAATACATCTCTCCATTCAGTTATTCCTTTTCTGAACACATTATTGGACCAAACCCCCAAGTATTTCCTTCATTGTTGCAGACTATCTGCTTGCATCGGAGATAAAGCCTCCTTATCTTCCACAGAGAAAAATAAAATCCATTTGTCTCTGCTTGGGAATCGAGACTGTGCGTCTCTTAAAGGGCTCACACCTCGCATTCAATGGATCCTGAAATAGTGCACGTGCAGGGCCTGTTCTCATTCACCAAGGAGTCCAATGCCTCTGAGTTGGAGTGATAAGTCAGATAGTACTCCTGCAGCTGAGAGTTCAGGTCCTGCTCTTGCTTGCGGGCCTTTTTTCTGCGCTTATGGTTGACTGAATGCTCCTGCAGCTGCCTCATGGTGTTGGGGTAGCGCCTCCACGACACGTAAATAACCAGCAGGATCAATGCCACTGACAGGAACAGGGCTACGCTGCCTGCAATGATTTTATGGAAAGCCATATGTTCAAACTGCAGCTCTGGAATAAACGACGTGGAGGTCTCTGTGGAGGAAGGGAGCGTAGAGCTGAGGGCGGTGGGTTCTGCTGTCTGTATGTGTGTCCCGGCAGGACTCACAGGAGAAAGGGTTGATTTCTGTGACGGCGATGATGGATGACTCAGGTCTGTAACTCCACGGGGAGCCGGCCAAACTGTGACGCTCACAGCTTGGGTTGAGTTGGAATTAACCCCGGCTGTGGTTGAGAACATGTTTGCGGCGTCCACACATAGCGAGCGGTTCCTCACCACATCCACCACCCGTTCACCCTGTGCAGCCTTGGGGCCGCTGCAAATCATGTTGATGTCTTTGGGGTCCCTGAAGGTCCGGAGCCACCCCATGAGAGGGCAGATCCCGGGGCTGCAGTCCCAGGCGTTGCCCGCCAGGCTGATGGTGGTCAACGAGGTCCACGCCTCCACCACTTCTACGGGAACGCTGCTCAGCTTGTTCGTTTCCAGGTTCAGCATCTGCAAGCTCGGCATACAGCGGAAAACGTCCGGTTCCAGGGTCTGGATTTCATTCCCAGAGAGGTCCAGTTTCTGCAGTTTTGGCCAGGTCCAAGGGACCCCCTGGCTTATCGATCGGATCCGGTTCCAAGACAAATACAGAGCCTGGAGGTTGGTGAGGCGTGGGAAAATGTAGAAATTAACCCGGGAGAACTGATTGTGTTCCAAATGTAGCTCTCTCAGCTTAAAGAGTCCCAAGAACGTGGTGCGAGTGAGACTGCGCAAGCGATTGTAACCCAAATCCAAAAACTCCAAACTGCGGCATTCCAGAAATGTGCGAATGAGGATCTGTTTTAGCCCATTAGATCTGAGGTGGAGATTCTGCAGCTTGCGAAGCCCGTAGAAATAACCCGGCTGCAGGGACTGCAGCTGATTATAGGACAGGTCCAAATTTCTCAAGTTGGGTATGGCACTGAAGGTGTTGTTGAGCAGAGAGCTCAGCTTATTGGAGCTAAGGATGAGCTCCTTCAGCCTGCGCACGCCGTGGAAGGCTAAAGCATCTATACTGTGGATGGAGTTGTGGTCCAAGTAGAGCCAAATGAGCTGATTGAGATGAGCGAACTGGTACGGCAGCAGAACCAGCAGGTTGTTATAGCGCAGAGACAAACCCTGGCACCCCGTTGTGATGTTTATTGGAATGTCTTGGAAGACGCCGGACTCGCAATAAACAATCTTCCCTTCGCAGCGACAAGTCGCAGGGCACATCCTCTCCCCCTTGCTGAGCAGCAGCAGAACAGCTGTCTGCAGAAGAAGACAAGATAACCTCCAGTCCAACATCACAGAACCTGTTGGGGGTAGAGTGGGGCACAGGCAATCAAAGGGATGACTCAGTTTCTTAAAAAAGACATGCACAAACATCATTATATGAGCGAAGGTAAGACTTTCATTTCCTCTAAGAGTGGAAATGTTCTGGGAAACAGCTTGAGGTCTCTATAAGACCTGCTTCATTAACAGCTGCTCTTCTGACATAGAGAGACTATTTCTAGATGCATGAAGACAAGTTTCAGACAAATGCAGCTTTGTTTGAATACAAGGATGCATAGAAACTATTTTACAAATGCAGATGGTGTTATTTTAGGAGAAATCTGCCAGTTTTAGCTGTCTTTCCTGGCTGAGGAGACCGAAGACATAGAAACTGTCTCAGTAAAACACTAAAGAAATGAGTGACTTACCCATTGTCACTGAATAAAAGGGTAATCCTCCAGAGGGAAGGAGAGAAATGAAGAGAGAACGCTCTAAACTGTGCTGGGCTCAGTCCGCATACTGAGAGGAGCAGATGCAAGTTTCTCTGCAGCAGTCAGAGCCGCACCGGGGGTCTGGGTGATGCTCACAGTGGGGACCTCCTCTCACTAGGCTCGCAGTTGGACCTAACCTCGCTCCACTTCTGTCTGCTGTGCTCGCAGTTACCCATTTGAGCGCCAGCGGACCGATGCACATCACCCCCTCCTCCTCTCTGCGCTCTCTTCCTTCTGCCTCTCTTTACCTCACCCCTTTCTCAGAGACGTAGGCGTCCTCAAGAACATTAGCTTACAAACGACGGGGTTGTGCCACAGAAATACCGCCATTAACTAATTGATACTTAGACCAGGAGTATTGTCAGTTTGATTTACTGTTGGTGTTTTTGCATAGAATCTAAAGTCTATGCTCTTTGCTATGGGTGAAACATTATAAATTTCCAGGAAATTTCTTCTGTGTTGTCTAGATTTTTCTTTATTTTTCAGACGCTTGCCAAAGTGTGGCGTGACCCTTTCTGGCAGGTTCTACTAAACTCTAAAAATGGCTGATTTATTCATATAAAGCACAGGGTCACAGAAAAGTGAGCTGAAACAAGGCAAAGTTGGTCAAATAGAACAGCTGTTATGCAAATGTCTATCATTACAAAGGGAATAGAATGCTTCAAGAATGTCAATTATGTGGAAATACATTTGAATTGCATCCAAAAATACTTACCGGTAAAAGCCAAATTAAATGTAGCTTACATTAAATGTGTTTTATAAAAGAGCTGTTGTTGAAGATTTCCTGCAGCAGCCTGTCTCACAGTGGCTGTAAAGGAGCCTCTGACTGAAGACGTTCTGTTCTTGTAACTGTGAAGAGGATTGCTCCATGTTCTTCTTAAGGTTTATGCTGGTGAAGATTCTTAGTCATCCAGGTCATAGTTATAAAAAAAAAAAAAACTTAAAAAAAAACAATCCACTGGATTTTGTTTCCAAGTTTGAAGACGTTTTGCTTCCCGTTGTAACAGTCGTAATTGTGTTGTGTCTCTTTAAGATACTATTGCTACGCGCCACTGCTTCTCTGTAGAGAGCTTGGGAGATGTGATGCAGAGCGATACAGGTTCTCAGACTTTTTAATTCCCTATTTTTCTTTGTAATGTTACGGGGTTTTTTTCATGTTTGAGCAGCCGTTCCACCGTTCTTTGTAATGTTGGTGAAGAGTGTGTTTATTAAAAGACAACACTGTGGAATTCCAATGTAAATGTGAGTTTTTGACCGTCCTCTGCTTCCATAAACGCTACCCTCAGCGTTACACCATCCAGGAAGCTTTTTCAATTCAAAATGTCAGAATTAGCGTTGAGTTCAAGGCTTTTTTAATGGACCAAAAAAAAAGCCTTGTTTTTGCTTAGAAACATGCAAATTGAAACAGACGAACGGGTCCGCCCTTTAGGAATGGGGGTCGTCTGACTTCATTGTTAGCCTGCAATAACCCATACTTGTCTATGTCTCTGAAAGGGGGGCATTAAAGGGAATTTTTGGCCTGGCTGAACATGTGAGGTCTTCTGTTCCCCTGTACAGGGGTTGGGGTTGCGATGATATCGGGAAGGAATCAACTCAACTCATTGTAAGTTTTTGAAAGCTGAAATCTGAGTCCACCCCCTCTGTTTAAGGTTGGTTTTTCTTTCTTCACATAATGGCTTCCTTCGCACCCCTCTTAAACCACCTATCTTCTTTGTCCAAAATGTGAACATTCTTGTCCTGCATACACCACTCTGCTCTGATCTTTATATTGGAGAAACCAAACAACCTCTCCACAGATGCATGGCCCAACACGGAAGAGCGCCCTCCCCTGGACAAGACTATACGGTACATCTACACCCTATGGACAAAGGACATTCTTTGGAGGAACAGAATGTTCACATTTTTAGCTCAGTTGATGTTCAACACAGAGACATCTTTTACTTTATCTTTCTAGGGGGTAGAAATCGAGTGGTTTGTTCAGTTTCATGAGAATATAATAATAATAATGAGAAGGGAAAAAAATCCTGTAAAAAGAACACAGGGCTTTTTCAGCAGGATACCAATGCTGTTAGAAAAAACAAAAAAAAAAAGTAGTTTTAGTCTGACTGCATCTCCTGAAAGCAAACAAACAAAAACATGATTTTATTATCTATCTGCTGTGTGACGAGTGCCATCATTGGACAGAGGGAACTGTTGGTGCTGTTTGTGTGCAAAGTCAGAGAAATCACAAAGAACTTCTCTGTTCCCAGATGCCTGCATAAAGACTTATTAATTAATGCCTCAAACTTTATTGAACATGTTTATATTTTACAAACTAAGAAAACAAAAGAGGAACCTCTAAAAAAGTTCAGATCAAGCTGATATTATAAGTACGGTATATATAAACAAATATGGGGACGTTGCCGTGGTTCACCAAATCAGTGATTAAAAGGACAAGATGGTTTCCCTAAAACATCAAATAATCTTAACAGATATAGAGAAAACATTTTTGTTTTGGTTTCAGAAAATGATACAAGGTTTCCTCATGTCATTGGAATCCTTGAGAGTTTTTGAATTAGACACCCATCCTTGAAAGTCTTTAAATATCCCACATATGGGGACTGCTGTCAACATGTCATTATTCTTATTGTTCCATGGTTTTTGTGTAGCTAACATGTGTGTAACAGGATATGCATCGCTGCACATAATCATCTAGCGGGTGAATTGGTGAATTGCCAATCACGCTTATTTAGTCATCAAGTTAGCTGGAAAATGCAAATTTCAGGATGCATGGCTTGCTAAAAGGACAGTTAAAAAGGAACAAAGTATTTATGTCAGTATTTGGGGATCATTTTTAAGCCTACATGAGGCTACAAGAAATGAATCTTTTAACAATATATTTGCTGAGGAGCTTCAAGGTCCAAAAGAAACTCTAAACAATAAGTATTATCGATAAGAATATAGGCTATATATCCAATCCTCTTTTGTTAATGAGTTTGATCCAACACCTTCTATGTCATTCAGTTTTTTTAACAGAATTTGCAACATACAAAAAAACCCTTATTATAATGTTAACGCATTCATTGACATGCAAAAAAATTCACATTTTAACACTTTTTAAGGCTTATCTGCATAAGTAATTGGAAAGAAATAGTTGATCAGGCTAAAAATTTGTTACGGTAGCATGCGAGCTGGAGCGTTCTGACATAGCGACCAGTCACTCAAAGCAGAAATGCGTAACGATTACATGGCGTGGACGTGCGTACTCCTTCAGGCTAGCTTGATCCTGTCAGGAGTTTACATTCCTACTGATCATTCTTTCGTTGAAACCTTTGTTCTCATTTAGATTAGAATTTCATTCCGATCCTTACATGATGCTTACACGGTGCTTGCATAACAGATATTAGGTCCGATTTGCCATTTATTGCAGTTCAACAACAAAAACGTATTTGTAAAATAAAATAAGATTTTTACATTTAAAATAAGATAACTGAGTGAATTTTATTTTAATATAAACAAAACTCATATTTTTCCATTGGCAAGTTGTCTTACTGATCTGCTCAAAACAAGGGAAAGTACAAAGAATGATTTAATTATATTTTCCCTTTTTTACAGTGTACTTTAGTCCACATAAGCATAGCTCCAGGTGACACTTTCAGTGGTATGAGGATGTAAATGGTGCCACTATTGGTGCCTGAGTATGAGGAAATCCGTCCTGCAAAATCGTTAAATGTTTTTTTTTTTATTTTAATGTTTACTAAAGTGTGGAATCCCTATGTGTACGAAGATCATTTCCACCTCTAGGTGACAATAAAAGTATCTGTATTTTGAAAAATGTAAATCCTTCAATGTTCAATTGCAGCCACAAATAATAAAATTGAAGTAATTCATTACAGCTGAAGTTAAAATTAGTCCTTTGCAGTGTTCCTCCAATTACTTTAAGCCTTTTTAGAATTAAAAATGTATCCCTATCATTGCAAAAACTGTAAATTTTAAATAAGTGAAAATGTCCTCCAAGTGAATTTGAACATTTAAATAATTTTTTTGCAAAGATAATTAGATATTATGCAACAAATAAGATTATGTAACTTATTATTATTTTTTATTTTGCATGCAAATAATCTAAATCCACTGGAAAATTGCCCTACTAACCTGCTCAATACAAGGTGAAATACACGTTTAATTGCTTATATTTCAATTTGTGGAGTTTGCGTACCGGGTTAGTTTAACCTCAGCCTGAACGGGCACCTATTTGACCAAGGATGAGCTAAACCACACAGCTTGGGTTGATATTCACCCCAGCAGTTTTCAGAGTGCACGATGACCATGATAAAGATGATGTGATGAGGATGACAGCTAAGATAGGTGGTTAGCAAACTCTAAATTTGCGGCTCATTTAGTCCCAACCAGTCATTAGGAACTGATAATTAACACTGTTGCTCCGATTACAGTGGTGTCAAAGCTTAATTATGCAAACAGCTTAAGTGTGATGGAGACACATTTATGAAAGCGGTTCACACCTCTTCCTGTCTGTGATGCAGTGCCACGAGATCATGTATTTAAACCATTGTTGGCTCTGAATTAACAGAACGCTGCAGAAAGGAAACATCAACATCCTCTCTGTCTACCAGCAGAAATAGATAGTTCTCATAATGAGCCAGTTTCATACCAGTTATTCCTAACCGTTGGCTCATCCTGCTTTAAACAGACACACATGATGCTGAGGAAGGCCTGCATTTCCTGCCTGCAAAAACACTCCATCTAAACATGTGGTAACAGCGCCACCCTGTGCTCACAGTGAAAAATGACTTGTTTTGCAAAAGCTGGTGACAACAGGCTATAACTCTGTGACCTCAGGAATGTCAAGGCAGAAAACATCCAGGTCAGCTGTGGCTTAAGGAGGTGATAATGAGGGATTTACAGCAGTTTGCAGCGTGGAGAGTGGGGTTAATTTCCACCTAAACAAGTCTTTGCCTATTGCTTGTGGACGAGTTATAAAAAAAGGTGAGTTTATGTCTGCTCCAGGAGCATCTCAGCAGGAGAGGATCTGAGAAATGCGAGATGAGCTGTTTTGTTCATCTAATGCCTCCCAGACGTGTAGTCACACCGGCTGTAATTGAATGTCAAATAAAATCCACTCTTCAAAGAGAGAGCTGGCTCACACGTGTTGAGGAGCTCACATGTCT